AACTGACACAATTGGCAAATATATTGAGTGTTAAATTACGTAAGAAATTGTGTTCATTTGTTTGTGAATTCAAAGATTTAATAGCAGAATTAAATGAAACGGACGATGATATCGTATGTGCAGGTGAGTAGTCTAATGAAAAAGTGCAATAAGATAATAACTTAGAATGTGAAATGTGATAATAAATGTAACAATTGTTTAATATGCGAGTTTGAAATTCTAAAGATATAATATGTACACAAGTTCATATACAAATTTATTTTTGACATATGAATTCATTTTAACTTTGTCATTTGCACAAGTTAATTGAGAGAGAACATTTAGTAAATTAAAAATTATAAAAAATAGGATGAGAATTAATATAGACGAAGAAAAATTAGGATCGTTTTTAATGTAAGTTGAATGAGAACTTTTAGTGGAGATTGAACTAGAAGATATTCTTGTTTATTTGCGCAAAAATTCAAAATAAGATTTATCAACGTAAAAATTATATATTATCTTAATTCTTTTATTTAAAAATCATGTAATTCAAATAAAAAAAAAATTTTTTAAAAAAATAAATATTGTTAATGGTGGAAAAAATGGTATTTTTTAAAAAAATAGGAACGCTTTTGAAACAAGAAAATTTGGAATCATTATTATTTTTGCATATTAGATGCTTAAAAAATTTGAAGAATGGGCATATTTAAATTTTATATGGGGGGCAGCGTGGTTAATTTTTTTATATGGGCAGGGCAAGACGAAAAGTCTATAAAAATTATTTAAATTTTATTTCACTCCAAGATTAAATATCTCTTATAACAATAACTAAAAATTCTGCATTCTTCTATGATAAAAAAATTCAAAGAAAGACACATTTAATTTAATTCAATTTTTTAATAAATAAACGTACCCATAATTTATTTTTATTAAAAATACGCAGTTACCATACAAAAAATAAAGAAGGAATTTTTTTTAAATAGAAATTAAAATAAAAGTTTTTTTAAAAATAATTTTTTTTTTAAAATACAAATTTTTTTAAAATAAAAATTTAAAACAAAAACTTACTGGTGCCATCAAGGCGCTATAATCATTGAAACTTAAAATAATAAATATAAAATACAAAAAAATAATGGTGCCACAAGGTCTATAATTCGAAAGGCTTGTTGGTAATACGAAAGGCTAAAAAATAATTGAAAATAAAAATAACAAAGAAAATGTTTAATGAGATATTTGATTGATTTATTGCTTTTTTTGGAGAAAAAATATTATAATAACATTACATTATAATATATTAAAAATATGGAAATTTTAAGATCTTTTTAATAATTCTTTGAAATAATTTGCGGTTTTTCAAAATTAATTTTATATTAATTTTTAAATTAATATTTTTAATTAAATTAATATTTGGTTATGATTTTATATATTAAGTAAGTATAAATATATTGTATTAATGATAAAGAAGTAAATGAGATATATAAATTTTTTAAGGATTTTTAGATGTATTTTTTTACGTTTCCGGTTCAAAAAATAATTTTTTTGTCGCGAAAGCATTTTAGAGGGGAAAGGCTAACATCTTAAACGTAAAAAAATACATCTTTTTGGATAGAGAATTTTAGTGTTGTTAAACGGATCGTTTTGAGCCGATTTTTAAAAACGGCTAACTCAATAATTTAGCTAGAAAAATATTGCCTAAGCCTCAAGATTTCGAAAATATATGTCTATACATTTGTTCCTTCTATGAGCAAAATCTTCAGGCTTGGGTAATATTTTTATGGATGAGGTATTGAGTTAGCCGTTTTTAAAAATCGGCTAACGAGCCGTTTAACAACACTAGAGAATTTAATTCTGAGTTCGATGATAATATTTATAATTACGATTAAGATGTTAGCCTTTCCCCTTTAAAATGCTTTCGCGACAAAGAAATTATTTTTTGAACCGGAACGTAAAAAAATATATCTAAGCGGTTTTGGATAGAGAATTTAATTCTGAGTTCAATGATATAATAATATTTAGTTTAAAATGTTAGCCTTTCCCCTTTAAAATGCTTTCGCGACAAAAAAATTATTTGAACCGGAAAAAAATACATCTAAAAATCCTTAATTTTATATTTCTCATTCACTTCTTTATCATTAATTACAATATATTTATACTTAATATATAAAATCATAACCAAATATTAATTTAATTAAAAATATTAATTTAAAAATAAAATTAATTTTTAAAAACAGCAAATTATTTCAAAGAATTATTGAAAAAATTGAAAAGATCTTAAAATTTCCATATTTTTAATATATTATAATGTACAATAAATAAAATCTCAAAATGTGATGATATTTTACTATATGAAAATAAAAATAATATTGACAATATATGGGTTTTCCATTTTTGAAAAAAAATTATTAAAAGAGGAAAAGATTTGTTTTGACTGTATGATCAATTGCGAGAAAAATTTTTTTTGAGGGAGAATTATGAAAATCGATTTTGTGGAAAAAGGTTTAGCTATCCCCCCCCCCCCCCCTTTTCCCCCATTTATTCTTAAATATTTTATACATATAATAACAAATTCAGTAACGTTTTATAATATTTTTAAAAAAAAATACATGTTCGCATTTTTAGGCGTGGCGATTAAAGGTGTGAACTCCGGGTATGAGAGTTACACCACTAACCAATTAACAAAACTCAATCTTTCTTTTATTTAAATAGTTTTCAAATCAAGAAATTTTTTTATGTATAATTGTAAATTTACAAATCAATCTCCTTACTTTCAAATTTTAATGTTTTGTTATGTAATTAAAAAGTGTTCTCTCCTCTATTAACCTCATCTACTCTTCTGTTGTGATTTAATCTTGGTGGATGCTACCTATTTCAAACATTGCATTTAAAATTTAATAATTGAATTTTCTTTGCTTTTGGGAAAACGGGTCAATCATATTTTTATTCACGTCGATGTTATAATCTTCCATGCAAATCAAATCTAAGAATTTTTTTAATCTCATTAGCTTCTCCCAAATATAATATCCACAACAGTTATCTGTACTTTGGTATTGAAAATGTTAAAATTTTATGAAACATATATTTTTCAATGTTTACCTAATAAATTTTAAATAACAAATAAAAGTAAAAATTTGTTAAACGGTCAGCTGGCAATTTTTAATATTATTTAGGTAGCTCGCCCAATGCGATAAATGGGCGTAGGCTAAAAGTCAGCTCGTTTCATCAAAAAAGTGAAAAATAAATATTATGACAATTGTCACTTTTCTATGGTAAATCTTAACTGAAATTTTAACTTAACATGTTTACAATAAATATTTTTACCTCTTTGTTTTAAAAAAAATCAAAAAAGTTCAAAAATAACGATTATGACAATTATCACTTTTCTATGGTACATCTCCACTATTTTAATTTATCATCTCTACAATATATATTTTTACCTATTCTTTTTAAAAAAATTCAAAAAAGATTATAAATAACGATTATGACAATTGTCATTTTTCTATGGTACATCTTCTTTGAAATTTTAATTTAACATCTTTACAATATATTTTTACCTATTTATTTTAATAAATTCAAAAATAAAAAATAGCGATTATGACAATTATCACTTTTCTATGGTACATCTTCACTGAAATTTTAACTTAACATGTTTACAATAAATATTTTTACCTCTTTGTTTTAAAAAAAATCAAAAAAGTTCAAAAATAACGATTATGACAATTATCACTTTTCTATGGTACATCTCCACTGAAATTTAATTTATTATCTCTACAATATATATTTTTACCTATTCTTTTTAAAAAATTTAAAAAAGATTATAAATAACGATTATGACAATTGTCACTTTTCAATGGTACTCTTCACTGTAAATTTAATATAACATGTTTACAATATATATTTTTATCTATTTTCTTTGAAAAAATTCAAAAAAGTTCACAAATGTACTATAGAAAAGTGACAATTGCCATAATCGTTATTTTTGAACTTTTTAAATTTATTTAAAGTAAATAAGTAAAAATATATATGGTAAAGATGTTAAAATAAAATTTCAGTGAAGAAGATGTACCATAGAAAAATGACAATTGTCATAATCGTTTTTTGTGAACTTTTTTGAATTTTTACTTATTTACTTTAAATAAATTTAAAAAAGTTCAAAAATAACGATTATGGCAATTGTCACTTTTCTATAGTACATCTTCACTAAAATTTTATTTTAACATCTTTACAAAACATATTTTTACCTATTTACTTTAAAATAACTCAAAAAACTTCAAAAATAACGATTATGACAATTGTCACTTTTCTATGATACATCCTAATTTAAATTTTAATTTAACATGTATATTTTTGCCCATTTGATCCAAAAAAATTAAGAAAAACAAAAAATTATTAAAAATAACGAATATGAGATTTGTGACTTTTCTATGGTTTATCTGGAAGAACTAGACTAACCCCGACTATAGAGTGGTTAGGTTCAGTTAGGCTCAAAAATTTGATTTAGTCGACTAAATTAATCGATTAAGCATGTAGACTAAATGGGGTCGACTATGGTGACTAAATTAGTTGTTTTAGTCGACTATATTAGTTGTTTTAGTCAACTATATTAGTTATTTTATCGACTATATTAGTCGTTTTAGTCGACTAATTAACAACACTACTATTAAGTAAAGGTTGTACAATTACAAATGATAGAAATTGAAATTTTCGGTTAGGGTTATGTTGATCGGAAAAAAGTATTGCTGATTTGAGGTTAACTTTACAAGAGGCTTTTATAATAAAAAAATGGTAAATAGCGGCTGATCAAAACAAAAACTGACAGTCACTATGCACACACCAAAATTATATTAAAATTAATTTCCATTTTACGTTGTTAAAAATAATCTTTTATATCTAATTGAGGCGTCCGCTCCCTTTTCCCTGTTGAATTAGCCTAACTAGCTTGCTCAAATTCTAAAAAGTTCTTCGACTATTTTAAATTTCTGGTTCCTTGAGAAATAATAACTAATATATTATAGATAGATAACCTTTTCTCCAAAGTGTATACATAAGCTCTCAACCATTTTCCTGATCCGGGCAACGTTGTTGTTCGACGAACAAATAAATGAAAAAATATTCTCGATGATATTTTGTCTCAATATTCGAAGACCCTTGTAACGTTGGATCATGGGTTTTATGTGATCATCTTTGGCTATCCAGGATAGTATATGTTGCTCAATGTCAATGTCCAAGCTAAAATAATCTAAAATTTTTTTTTAAAAGGCCCTTTATTTATTATTTAGTTTCTAGAAACCCTTACCTATGAAAAATAAGATATCATGAAGTTCATATAGATTATATTAATTAAATTTAGCTTTCGATGAGTAGGGTTGGGCAGTAACGCAAATACTTGTATTTACGAATTAAATATTCCTTTTTTATTTAGTATTTATTTGAATATTTTAGAAAGTATTTGTATGTTAAATACTAAAAAAATAAAAAGTATTTTGTATTTATTACAATTTCGTGATTTTCACACGAATACAAATACTTTTATTATAAAATAAATTGTGTAAATCCAGTTTTTTAATTTAAATTTGTGATCCGAATTAGAGAAAAAATTATCATCTTCCATTTTAAATCCTATTTTATTTTTAAAATGAGTATTACCTTACCGAAAATAAAAGTTTTTTGAAGAATAGAATATATGGTATAGTAAATGAAGAAATAGAAAGCTATTAAGTTCATAATATTTTTGCAGGGATTCTGTTACAATGTCAACATTCTTTAAATGTAATTTGACAATTTTAGATAGAATTTTTCCCAAAATATCATCAAAAATCAATAACATAGTGAAAGCCTAGTATCTGCTTAACTAAAAATTAAACCAAAAATATAATTGGAGCGATTTAATTATCCATTTAAAAGTATTTATACTTCTTACGTTATATGTGAGAAGCTAAATATCTCAAGATTCAGTGATAATGAACTAGAGTATTTGGGATAGTGTTGTTAAACGACCCTATTAAATTTTAGCAAAAATAATATTATGTAAGCCTGGAAATTTTGCTCACAGGTGACAGAAAGATTTGGACTTCTATTTGCCAAATTTTGAGGCTTACATAATATTATTTTGTCTAAAATCTTAATCGAGCTAAATCGACCCAAATCGGGTAGTTTAATAACATTAATTTGGGAGAATATTAAGACCCATTAGCTTTGACAATTGACATTACATGGTCAAAAGCTATTATGGGAACTTGTACCTATTCTATTTGTCATAAAAAGAGATATTGCAAAACTAGAATTATCTGATTTTTATATTGCAAATATGGTTAGAAACCAATATTAAAAACGCAAAATAAACGAAATATTATATTGGTTCTAAAATATTAGTATTAGTTTATACAATATTTTCTATTTGTTATTTTGGTATTGGATTATATTGGTATTGATTTAAATTTAAATGATTAAAGATTTAAAGAATGAAAATAGTGATTTAAAAAAAACCTTAATTGAAGTTAAAATAAATATGGAAAGTAAACTATGAAGCATTACTATTTAAAAAAACAGGGCTGAGAACCAACTTTCGAGATTTTACTGAATCCGAATCATATTTTAAACAAGAATCAAATTCCTGAAAATATGAAAAATTTTGATTTAATCGTAAAATATTTTATATCAACAAACCGATACCAAACCAATCAAATAAAAAAAGTAAACACTTTGATTTTGAAACCTTTTATTTAACACATAAATATAGTAAATAAAACTTAAAAATATATAATTGTTTACATAAAATACAGTGCAAAAGACAGGAATTTATAAGTTAATGATAGTCACTACCAAGTAAAAGTATAGCAATTTTCTAAATACCAAAAAAATTTGCTAAATACCGACCAAAATTTAAAATGTAATAAGACCCTTATTATTTAATATATATTATAACGTAATCACGTAGTCGAGTCTGGCCCCTATATATCATCTCCCCAAGGACGGAACCACCAAGTTAGATTAAGAAAAAAAAACCTGATCATGACTGGGATTCGAACCCATAACCATCGGATTGATAAGCGACGCTCTTGCCGACTAGGCCACAGAGGCTTTCCAAATATCATGATTTTTCAAATATACATATATTATATATAAATTTGGTAGTGCCTTTCAAATGAAAAATAAACATAATACAAATTTGATAGCTATTACCTTAAAAGGTAGTGACTATCATTAACTGAATTTACAAGTATAATTTTAAAATGCGCATTCAATTTTTCAGGCATAGGCAAGCTTGTATAATTTTCATCTAATGAATAACGTTGGTCGAAAACGCTTCTTCAGTGCTAGTTGAAATTGTAAGGTAAACTCTGAAAATTTTCGAAAATATTGGATAAATTTTAATTTCCATCAGTTTAGTGGATTTGTTTATTTAAAAACGGCGGATTCGTCAATATACTTGTTTAACCATAACTTTCTTCAATCTGATATATTTTATCAAAAAATTCATTTTCTTGGATTCATTTTGTGTTTCATGTTCATCTAAATTGAAATTATTATTTATTCTATACATATTTACTCTTCCGTTAGATATTTTATGAGAATGAGGGTTTCTAAGCATTATGTTTAAATAAGTGTCTTGATTTTAGCGCGGATCAATCATTGTCGATTATTTATGTTTAATATCTATTCATTTAAGCTAAAAAAGCTAGCCGTAAAACAGCATTAAAATTATTGAATAATAGTTGAAATTGAGTATTTGCACATGAGGCCATGTCCATATCAAAAATAAATGGGATCAGAAATTCTTGATAAATTTCTATATTATTCCAGGCTAAGGCATTAATGTAACGTTGTTCATTGGTGTTTTGTAATCGATTGGAACATTTGATAGATTAAATTCCAACGAGTTAGTAAATCCAAACATATCAGAGGAATTTTTCATGTTGGATTCTTGTCAGGATACATATTTTCCAGTTTATAAAATTTTGATAGATTAAAAAAAATTTTTTAAGGTTTCATTTATAGGCTCTAGGGTGGCCATAACAGCCAAATGAAAAAAAGCATTTGCACATATCATCAGATAGTGGATTAGTAGAAAATTAATTGCACTAAAGAAATATTGTATGTAATAATAATTAAGGTGAGAAATTGAGAGGAAGAACAAAAAAATATCAGCGAGAAAAAACCAATAATGTTTATATATTTATCTATTTTTTTAATATTGGTATATAGTGTTTTACAACAATATATCAATCCAATATATTTAGATAATCGGTATTGGCTTATTTTAAATTGGGTTATATTTGTTAAAGACCTACAGAGGTATCATTTGCACGGCCCGGCCCGGCTGGATTTTTTTAAAAAAAAATTATTTTAAGCTGGGCCCAGATTTTTTTTTATAAATTTTTTTAGGCCCGGCTCGGAATTTTTTTTTAGATTATATTCGACCTGGTATATATAAAAAATTCACCTATTCGGTATTTTATCATATTTTTCAGCGAGTATTATCATTTAATAGCAAGCATATTACATATTTTATCTTCTAAACAGATATTTAGTATATTATAAATTGATACTTTAAAAAATTTGTGTAAATAATATTTTGACAAATACTATATTAATTGTATTTATAAAAAAAAATAAAACTGATATTTATAAAAATGGAATTAAATAATATTTGAGAATATACTATATTCTATTGTATTTACAAAAAAAATAAAACTAATATTTATAAAAAAAAATGGAAGTAAATAAAATTTTGAGAATATACTATATTATATATTGCATTAATAAAAATAAAACTAATATTTATAAAAATGGAAGTAAATTATATTATTATTATAACCATATCTAATTGACGAATATAATAATTCATGATGTAAGGCAAGGCCCGGGTATTTAAAAAAAAAATTTCAGGCCTGGCCTGGGTGTATTTTAAAAATTTAAAATAGGGCCAGGCCCAACTCTCCACACCCCTATTTTAAAAATAGATGGGTAGAATGTAATGAGAAAAAAGATGTTTGCAACATACGTGTTTAGATGAAGCCCTCTTAATTAGAAAAAAAGAGATAATGGAGAAAGCAAATATTTCATCGCCTTATGTTAAGGAGGATGATTATCTTAATTCCGAAAATTCTATATGAATAATGCTTCTAACGATGAGTTAGAAGTATTTTAAATTATTAAAATGAGCAAAAAGATATATAAATGGTAAATAATTATAAAAAATCATTTTTTTAAAAATATAATTCTATAAATTTAATCAATAAACATAAATTAAATGATATCTTTTTTAAAAACATATTATATGCTATCATTTTAATTATAAATATAATATTCTTTTATTAAATATTATGTAATAACTAGTTGATAACCCGTCAAGAATGACGGGAATAATAAAATCTTGAACTATTATATGAATTTTTTTTTAAATACATTTTTTTATATAAAATAAATGACAATTTTAGTGATTATTTATTCATTTTATTAAATTTAGCGTAAAATATATTAAATTGTAATCAAAAATGTAGTGTAGATATTGATAAATTGGTATTGTATCATTTCCAGAGTTCAAATATTGTTGTTGAGATAAAATTTTTATACTGGCATATTTTGGGGTGGTAGTATGAGATAAATGTATCTAAATATAATTTAAATTTATTTGTTAAATCTAAATTATAATAAGTATTTAGGATTAATGAGGGATATTATTTTTCTGGCATGAGAAGATATTGATAAATAGGTATTTTATACTATTTGCAGAGCTCGCATATTGTGGTTGAGATAAAAATAATTTATAAAAATTAATAATTTACTTTGATTGAATATAAATACTTACGCTAAAATTAATATGAGATAAATGTTTATTTTTCAATTGGCTAAATATAATTTAATTTGCTATTTTAACTTTAATAATATTCATTCTTATCATAATTTGAGGTGAGGTTAGTATTCTTTTTAATATAACACAATAAGATCTAAATTATATAAATTAATCGAAAAATATGTTAATCGCAAATTAATAACATATATAAGAAAGATTATATTACAAAATTTAATATAGAAGGTGGTTGAGTGGGAAGAACGTTTGCCTTTAAAACGTTAAGTCATGGGTTCGAATCCCATAATGTACAAAAAATTTTCTTAAAATTTAACATTAGAAATATATAGTCTCCCATCGATTTATTTAACATTAAGAAGATAGGAAAGTTGATAGAAAAAATAAAAATTAAGATGATAGGAAAGTTAACAGGAAAAATAAAAATT